CATTTTACTTTCTGCATAATTGTGAATCACACTGCGAAATTCCGCAATGTCATAATTGATTGTGCTCATTGTGTTTTTGCTTGCAGGAAATATGTGAAATATGCGAACGAGTAGCCAAAACGCAAATGTACACCACACTGGAATCGGATCGTCCACAGAATCGAGGACTGAATCGATACAGAGATGTCAATCCTTATGATCATTCGCGCATTGTGCTAAAACGCGGCACTATTGATTACATCAATGCCAACCTGGTGAAGGTGAGTCAGTGAGACTTCAATTAAAAAACCATCCAAGTAATATCGTTCCTTTCAATTTTCGAAAACAATCGACAGCTGGACCGTGCCGATCGTCAATATATACTGACACAGGGTCCGCTGCAGGATACGGTGGGTCACTTTTGGTTGATGGTCTGGGAGCAAAACTCACGCGCTATTCTAATGCTCAACAAGCTGAAGGAGAAGAAGCAGGTTAAATGCCATCCCTATTGGCCGGATCAGCTGGGAGCCAATAATGCGCTTAATCTAAAAGATGTTAATCTGTCTGTGGAGCTGATTCGCTGCGAGAACTATCAGAACTTTGTGCGGCGGTGGTTCAAGTGAGATAGCCTTACGGAAAAGCATGCTTGACAAACAATTACTAATTTATCTCTTATCTTAGATTAACTGATCTCGAAACGAATAAGAGTCGTGAAGTTATGCAATTCCATTATACAACCTGGCCGGACTTTGGCATACCCAGTTCACCGGATGCATTTCTAAAGTTCTTACAACAGGTGCGCGACTCAGGTGCACTCAAGGAGGACGTCGGTCCAGCTGTGGTCCATTGCAGTGCCGGCATTGGACGATCTGGCACATTTTGCTTGGTCGACTGCTGTCTGGTGCTGGTAGACAAGTATGGCGAGTGCAATGTATCGAAAGTACTGTGCGAACTGCGCACCTACCGACTGGGACTTATACAAACGGCTGATCAGCTGGACTTTTCATATCAGGCAATAATCGAGGGCATCAAAAAACTGAACGATCCTGTACGTATATTGACGAGCAATAAGAAATTACGCTTGAATTTCGATTTCAAATAGATAAAGAGTTCATAAGAGCAGGCCACATCGACCATCACCGTTTAAACAGACCTTTGATGGGTTAATGATAATATTGTATAGAAATTGTGTTGCAAACTAAAATGTTATGAATTAATAATTGATGAAATGTAGGTAAATGTTTAAAACAAAATCAAAAGTTTGTTTTATAAAAACGTATGCTTTAAATCAAATATGTTAATTTGTAATTATTTTAGCTTTGCTAGATGCTTCTTTGAACTTTTTAAGTTTTTGAGTGAATTGTGGACGTAATGTTTTATTTTGTTTTGCGATATGTTTTGCTAATTTGTATTATTTATGTTTGCAGAGCTTTCTCAGTGCTGAAGAGCCAATCATTAGCAATGAGACGGATCCGCACATGCAGGATGAGCAACCGCCTCCATTGCCTCCACGTTCTCATTCGCTGAACTTGCCACTGGCGCCCAATACAGGTGGAGTGCTCTCTCTGGATATGCGAGCAGCGCAAGCCAATGGCGACAATGTTACCATAGGCGATGACAATGGCTTAATGACCACCGATAAGCAGACGCTGAGCAGCAAGGATGCTCTCAACAATATCATAACCAGTCAACCTGAGATCATAAATGCCGAAGTAGCAGATAGTTTGCTTAACAATCGTCCACTCCCGCCGCTGCCCAAGTTGCCAAAACATAGCGAACTGGAATCGGATAGCGATGACGACGACGAAGCCTATGATGACAACGAAGATGATGAAGATGAGGAATATGAGAATATTAATGAGCACAAGGCGGAGCCAGCCAATGGCGATGTCACAAATCTAAAGCCCCATGAAGATGATGTTAATGCCAACAGCGAAAAGCCAACAGCGATTGATCAGCACAAGGTCAACGGCATTGATGTGACGAGGTATATAAGGATTAAAGATATAAATATATATAAGATAAATATTATTATTAATTCGAATTATGATATTTGCAGTACCGGGGATGAGCTGAAACGGCGAAAACGCAATGAATACCAAGCAAATCTGGAACAGAAAGTCAACGAAATTAAGCGCAAACAGCGTGAGAACGAGGACAATCAGCAGGCGGCGAAAAAACGAAGGTCATTACTCACATATATTGCCGCTGGTGTTGTTGTGGGCGTCATTGCCGTCTACGCGTACACGAAGCTAGGTTAAGTCCTTGTCGTTAGCCACAGACGACAGTAGTAGACCGTAGTAGTTGTAGCAATTGAATCAGAATATAGTGGCATAGTAGCGTGACAGTGATTCCCAATTCTGGGCATATGTATCTATGTATGTGTATGTATATGTATGTATGTAGGTCTTATCGAGCTAACATCAAATGTCAGCGCGACACAAATTCTTGCACACACACACACACACAAACAAGCACAGAGATACAAATACACCCACACATACACACACGAGTTGGACAGCGAACAATGCGATGATAAAGTCGCATTAGTTGAAACGATAATGACAATGCAAATTAGGGAATTTTTTTTATATATAAAATTTAAAAAAAAATAAAAAAAAACAGGACAAGAAATAAAACAACAGCAACATTTAAAACTTAGGAAAGCACAAAAGTTAGATTCTTGCGCAATAGACTGACATTTTAGAACAAATTTTTCTCGATACACTTAACAAAAAAGAAAAGAAAAAAAAAGCAAAAACTATAACAATGAATGAAACACACGCAAACAAAAAGATGAACAGAACAAACCTTAAAACATATATATCTATCTATATATCGACTTGAATTAATCGTGCAAATGCATTTTTATTTTGCGCTCGCTAACCTATGTACAATTTTTTCACTTATTTGATATGAAATAAAACRAAAACCTTATAAGAAGAAGAAGAGAAAGAAACGTTGCTATCTAAAATATTTTATATGTATATCGTGCACGACCGACCACGCCCATGCCCACTTCGCTTCACTTGTTGTTAAACACTTACGTTTCGTAAACATTTTGAAATACCAGTCTGTGCATGAATATATATTCATATACATATATATATCTAAACATATATATGTATGTGTATCCGTACGCGAGGTGTTGTTATTTATGAGGAATTATGATGAAACACACTTGTTTTACTAATTTAACGGCAATGAATGCATTAATGTGCCAAAACAAAAACCAAACAATTGAATGGAAAAATTAATTGAAATGAAAAAGAATATGGAAATTATTGGAAAGCTAACTTTGCGCGCTATTTTTAAATTTACTTTACCAAAAAAATAAATAAATAAAACGAAGAAGAGGAAGAATAAGAAGAAAATGAACAAGAAAATTAAATTGAAAGTGGAAATCGCAAACGCCGATGAAAGCAATAAAAATAATGCAAATATGTAGCACAAAAATAATATATAAAATTTATATATATGCATATATAAAATAATGGAAAATCTATATATAACCTAATATATGATACGAGGGAAACATTTTGTATTCTAACAATAGCATTAAAATATATGTGAACTTAAAGCAGATAAGATGATAAAACAAAACAAAAAGCAAAAGAATGAGTTAAACTATTTAATGGTTTTTAGTAGTAAGATGCTATCTTTGAACCCCCTCCTTCACATTTTCCAGCATATACAAAAGCATATATATATATACATTATATATTAAAATACACATAMAATACGTGTAGCGTAAGAAAAAAGCGTCACSGATGAAGAAACGCAAGTAAAACTAAATGAATTATTTTTATATGTGTAATTCACAAATTTAACAACTAAAATTTAACCAACCACCCACAATGAGAAAGCGAGTGCGCTTAGAATGACGACGACGATGACGATGATGATTTTTATAATATACATACATATATAAACCTATTAAAGTTATTTAATCTC